ATATATTCAAAATAAGTGAAAACTGAATTAATCTTTATAAGTGAAGTACATGTTTAACAGTAGACAAATAATAATGTTGAATGAATTGATTTCGATTTATGTTACTGACGAAGATGACAAAGATAATGTTTGACTGATCAATAATTTGTAAAATGACTATTTGTTGGATGAACGCAATGCAGTTGAATTAAAACATTCTTAATATAACAGGTAGTCTTTGCATCTTAGATGATTTAATATTTATTTATCAAGAAGCCATTGTAATAAAATACAATCGTAATCTTTAAAATTTGATATCTTATTCAATTTATTAGAAGTAGCAATGCGCCTATTAATATATCAGTTATAGACATTTTGTATTACTTATTTTTATTTTATGTGATGTAATATTGAGAAAACCTATGCACAAGAAACAATATCGTATACCGATGTACGAATGTACTTTACCTGTACCTTAGTTTTGTTTTTGTGCGTGATTTTTTGTTTACGAGTTTTTTGTTTTTCATGATTTTAATGATCGTTTGCCTAGAGTGAGTGTTCCAAAAATAAATAATAAATAAAATAAAAGTCAGCTATACTATCGTTGTTTTGAATAGGACGTTTGTAATGGTTATTTGCATAGGCACCTAACATATAAGGTTAATAACCAGTCCATATAGTCGAAACGGAGAATTATTTTTTTCTCTTATTCTTTTTCTTTCTACTTCCGAGTGATCCGATATACGAATAAAGGTTCTGCTTGATTAAATACGAAGAAAATCACGAAAAATACTTATGTCTCCTATCCTATATAATGACATAGTTCAAGAGAAATTTGTATATAATGTATTCCTATCTATTTTGATCCTTTTCAACCACTATTTACAATATGTTGCTATTCAATACAGGCAAATATATTTTTTCACTTAAAAACTCATTCCGTAAGTATTTTGGTAACTAAAAGATTAGATTTTCATGTTCTTCATCAAGATATCATACGTTAACTAACAATATTAATAAATTAGTTGTGTGAGAATGGCAAATCATACCATTATTAAAAATAATGTTATATAAGATGTATTCCTTCGAATTTTGATTTGAAGGTTTTTATCTTTGTTTCATAACATTGATAATCATCTTTAAATAGAATTGATATTAATAATTATATTTCTCCAACTATATAAACCTTCAGTTAGATATGAGATCATTCCAACTATTTGATACTTTTGCATAATAGGTGAATTAGTTGTTTTAGAAACAGATCTACGTGTGATTATACATTCGATGCAAAACAGTTAAATGTATTATTAAATAATTTTAATCGTGTCATGCGATTATTTTCCAACATATTTCAATATCCCTTTCGTTACGATAGTATAAAAAAAGCTACACCTATTTTTAATTATTTTTTTATAGTAAAATTCACAGAAACCAATGTGCTATCTCTTCAAAGCGGTTAAACAGGATATTCTAGGAAATCTCGTGGTATTTGTTTTACAGACACTGTCTTCATATCTTCTATTCTCTTCTTCTCCGCCCGTCACATCTACATCCTCAAAATTGGTTTTTTGTTATTTCATGAAAACATTCGATAAGCTTTACAACTAATAAACATCAGCAGTTCAAATTTCCGCTCAAGTATAACAAAGTTCAGTATTACTTACGTTTCATATATCATATGCGAAAATAGATGAATTACTTTTACATACGTCCCTATCAGCCGTAAACTGCAATTTCCGAAAAAGCAAGGTCGATCGCTTCATCACCAGTGTTGCTACCTTTTGAAACTCAAGAAGCAGAAAATCTTTTGTAAAAAGCAGAAAATGACAGAAATTTTACCCTCGAAAAGCACAAAAAAAAGCAGAAAATATAGTTATAGTATAAAACTATTTTAAAACTTTTCCTAGTGCATTAAGTAAGAGTATTCACATCGTATTTTGTCCTTCATCTTGCATCATCAACAAAAAAAATTCTGTACCAGAGAAATAGAGTTGTGCGTACAGAATCAAAAAGCACAATCGATCGGTGAAGGAACAACCTTATTAAACATATTTTATTTTAAACGTACAAACATCCATAACTTATCGGATCTGACAACTTTGCTTACTATTGAACTTTATAATTATTCACAATATAAGAAAAATGTAAATATCTATTAAGAATATGTTCAGATTAAAGATTTATCATAAGGATGAGTAGTTTTCTCACACAATAGTCTCTGAAGCTACGAGAGTTTATTGAGAATTGCTTAGTTTGATTCTATCTCGCCGTTCATACACTCGAATAGATCAATTAGAAAAGTAGCATATTCAGTAGTAGTTACCCTGTTCGGTTGTATACACGTCTAGGTGTATCAGTGAAAGCAAGTCTCAATAGAACTCTTGGAATTTCACACATTGTTTGAAAACAAAACCTCTTGTCTGTAACACAGATGTTTTAGTCTAATTGTATTTCTAGTAACTACTGAGAAAAAAAGGTTTTAGTTTTGGGAAAAATATTTGATAAAAAAAATCTTAGTCAAAAATTCCCATTAAGGCAATATTTAAAAAAAAGCAGAAACGACAGAAAAAAATTCTATAACGAAATGGTTAATCAAAACGAATATATTTGATTTAGGTAGCTGTTTTTGATGAGACAGAAAATATCGAGTAAAATAGAAATTCTTTTAATCTATTCTTCTAAAGTATATACAGAATGAGTCATAAATGATACCCCCATAAGAAGTTTCGATATCCATTACGGCTTGTGTAAGCGAGCTGATTTTGTATCGATGATAAAGACATGTTCAAAGTTTATATCCATAAAGACGTGCCTAAAGAGATCCTTTGTTAAGTATCAATATTGATCTCAACAACAACAACAACAACAAAAATTTACTTTTTCACGTATAGGAAAAAAAAGAATATATTTACCAAAAGTCTCTCTAAGCATGTTTTTACGGATATAAACTTTGAACATGTCTCTATCATTGATAAAAAAAAATCAGCTCGTTTATACGAGCCGTTATGAAGATGCTGAAATTTCTTATTGGCGTGTTATTTATGGTCTACCCTTTACAACAATTTGTATATAGTGAAAGACGTCAATATCTTACTAAAAGAGTATGAGACTTCTTTTTCTACAATTTTGTTTTTAAAAAAGTTTATTTTTTTATGTGATCATTTTTGATGCAATTTAATAATGATTCGAAGTTTCTGGCAAATAGAATTCTATAGTAATAGTCAAACATTTGAATATATAGCAATTATATCTTTTATTTAGACTTTATTATAATTACATATAATATTTTCTTCTTTTCTAATTAATGAACAATGATTTTCATTATAGTTTTGTATTGTTCATCTTTTTTATACATATTTAACTAGTTGTAGAAAATACTTTTTCAGATTATCAGCGAAATGCTAAGTGAACCATTGGTTTTTCTGTATTTCTTCATCTTATTTACTGGCAGTTTTGCTCAGAGAAATGTGCCTGATGTTGACAATGATTCAGATATTCGAAAGCAATCAATAATTATCAAACCAGAAACTGAAATTAAAACTCGTGTAGGTGATGCCGATAGCAATGGTCGTAATTTACAAAGAAGTGATAATCAACAACAATTAGTAGGTCAGCCCAGTCGATCAGTACCAATATCAATAGCTAATAGTGAAGAATGTCGGTCTGATGTACAAAGATATTGTACAAAAGGGAGTAGACAAATGCCTCCAAATTTAAAAGTATTACAATGTGTTGATGAACTTGATAATGTAAGCTTTTTTCTTTCTTGAATGAAATTAAAAAAAAATATATATTTATTTATTGAATAAATTATAGGCTGTTAATCTAATAAGTAAAGATTGTCAACATGTAAGTAAAAACACTTTTATTATATCGCTTATTAATTGAATATTTTTTATTTAGCATATATACAATTTTAAATATAATATGACACATGACCCACGTTTTGATGATGCAGCACAAAGACAATGTTCGAAAGATATTAAATTACTTGATGAATGTGAAGAATTTGTAGGTAAACGTGGTTCAGGTCGTCTTGTATCATGTTTATATGATCGTTTGGAAAATATAACTGAACCATCTTGTCGGTATTTTATTAATCAAATGCGAGCAGTTGTTTTTAATGATTGGACATTATCAGAATATATGGTTGATGCATGTATGAGTGATATAAATAAACTTGAATGTGGACGATTAGATGATGATAATAAAGCCGTATGTATATTTAAAATATTAAGTAAAAAAATAAAATCTTTTCTTTAGATTCCACATGAACAAGGTGCTGCTATTGCATGTTTATCACAAAAATATGCTCAATTACAAGGATCGTGCAAAAAAGAAACCTTTGGTTTAGCTGAAATGCAATCAGATGATTACCATCTTGATCGTGCATTATTCTATGCATGTCGTGATGATCGTGAACGTTTATGTTCCCAAGTTCAAAGTGGAAATGGTCGTGTTTATCGTTGTTTATATGAACAAAAATTTAATACTATGCTGTCATCAGCTGTAGGTTATTAGGAAAAATATAAAATATTCTTTTTATAGTATGAATTATTCGTTTTAGTGTCGTAAAGAAGTTCACCGGCGACAATCATTAGTTGTTGCTAATGTACAAGTAGATGCACCATTAATTCGAGGTGAAAAATCGAATATTTTTAATCGAATAAAAAAAAACATCTATTCTTTCTTTAGCATGTAAAAGTGTGATTATTCAACATCAATGCTCTGTTGATCTTAATGAAAATGATAAGCGTTCATCTCTTGCAAAATTACTTTTATGTCTTCAAGATGAATTTAAGAAAGGTAAAAAGAACTTTTCTCTGGAAATTAGTTGAAGTTTATTTTGAATTAAATTCAAGGTGATCATATACAAGATGAATGTCGGCGTGAAATGCTTGTTCATCGTCGTATGTTAATGTCGGATTACTCTCTTTCTCCAGAAATTGTTAGCGAATGTAAAACTGAAATGATTAAATATTGCCCATCATTACTTCAACAAAGTAGTTCAATTGATCAACGTGGCGGTCGAATGATTCATTGTTTATTAAATAATGCACGAAAACAAAGAGATTTTAGTATTTCATGTTTAAATGTTGTTAAATCATTAGTACGTGCAGTTGATCCAGGTAGTGATATTCGAGCTGATCCACTACTTGAAACAACATGTCAACCAGTTATTGATACTTTATGTCCAAGGATAAAGTCTGGCGATTCAAATATTATTATGTGTCTGTTGGATAATCTTAAAAGTAATCGTATGACAGAAGAATGTGAAGATCGTTTAATGGAAATTACATATTTTATAGCAAGAGATTGGAGGTAATTGATAGAAAAGTGTTTATTTGATTTAACTTTATGTAATAGGTTAACACCAAAATTAATACGTACATGTCAAACAAATCTTATAAATCTATGTCAACTTCCAACAAATTGGTCAATGACAAATGAATTAAAAGATGATCAAATCGGAATGTATTTAGGTTGCTTATATCAACAACGGCAACAAGTAAAAAAAATTTAGGGAAATATGAACGTTTAATTGATTCTGTTTTTTTTCTTCATTTAGCTTGATAGAAATTGTAGTACGGAATTAAAACGTCTCATGCATATTCGAACACAAGCGATTGATTTAATGCCTGAAATTGAAGATAATTGTATAGAAGATTTAGCAACATGTAAAAATCCTGAAATTAAAGGAGAAGTAAGTGAGAATGTTATATAGAAATCATTTATTAGTAGGAAATATTT